TTTTGAACGTTGAACATTTAAATTAAAAAATATATCGTTAAAAGACGCTAATGCGTTTAATACAGTATGCAAACCATTATGTTGATAACTTTATTTTTCAATAATAATTAGTATTAAATTCTTTCTAGACAGTTATTAACTTTATTTCACATGTGCATTTTTATAGATCCAGTTTGAGAGCTAGTTCATTAAATTTTCATTGGGCAGTATTTAATGTATCTTCGCTTGCAGCAGTGGCTTTAAACTTTTTGTTGTCTTTCAACCTAGTTAATCAGTTATTTGTTTTATTCCGTTGACTTCGAACTATCAAGAAAAACAATTTGACAAATAGCCAATACTGAGCTTATGAACTTGATGGTTGTGCTATTCATAGCTTGCGGTTGAGAAAGTTTGTAAGTACTAACCGTATAGCTAACCATCAAAACTTTTGTAATATTCTCCAAAGATTTGAAAACTTGGTTAGTTACACATTTTTATACCGAGTTAGAGAACAGATATTTCGTAAAAGTATAGGACAGCCTAAGTATATTTGTTGAATGTATGATAATAAATTATAAAATATATACCAACATATTTTGTCCTATTATCATCGGTTTAAAATAAATTTAATATTTTATTATTGTTATACCGCCATTAATTTATTTGTTTTATCATTATACTATTATAATGACTGTTTCTTTGTTCATATTAAACTGCGTTAATTGGTTTACTATGAAATCGCTTAGATTAATGGTTCGATTTGTATTCTTGCTTCGAGGGTGTTATTTTTTACATTATCTGTGGCAGACAAAAGAAGAAAAAGTGGGTAGAGTGGTGTAGGACCACCGGTCGATAAGTATAATTTCCTGCAAACTTCTTTAAAAGACCCCTTTTCCTTTCCGCGTCTATGACTACAGTAGATACACGCGTGTTCGCCGAAAGTTTATTGTTTATACAGTGTCTAATGTGTTAATGTATATGTGCGTGTACAGATACACCCTGTTATTAGTTTAAGACGTTGGAAGTGGGGATAAAACCACACACAGAGAGTCTTAACAATGTTTCCCAACTTGTCCCCGACCCGAAAACCCATCAATAAATATTGTTGTAGTACCATATCGTTCAAATAATATGTTTCATATTATAATGGCGGAGTTTGGCTTAGCAACGTTTTGGAACGGAACTTTGGTCGATAATAATATTACTGTGCAGCGAAATACCGCCGAAATAATAGCAATATACAACGTGGGCCTAATACGTTACACGTGAAACGGCGTGCGTACATCGGCGTAATATTATTACGTATTAAATTTATGGATATTTCTCCAAATATTGAAAGAAAAAAAAAAATATACAGACAAATTTCAGTTACAACTTTATTAGAAGTCGGCGGATGATGATAATAATAATATAAAAAATGTCACGCCGAGTGTACCCGCGTCCATATTAAAATACGATTTATGGCTGTTCGTGCCAAGATTTATATTCAACATTTTAAGTAGGTATACCTATATACATAGCCCGCACCAGTGGAGGATATAGATAGCCCGTATTTCAGCGGTATGCATGATGTATGTTATTATAATATCCGTAAAACGATTTGTATCCGTTATACGCGAAATGCGGTGAAAAATATTACCATCAAAACTTGCAGAAATCGTAATCTCGTTTGAAAAAAAAAACTCCTATAATAACGTAACGTATTCAGCCGCGAAGTCTAGTCGAAGGTGATGCTTTCGCGTCGTAAGAACATATTTTCTTTTCCCTCACGCAATACTGTCGTTGAGTGTCGTAGGTTAGACACTCATAATATGCGTGCGAAATGCGGATACGAGATAAAAAAAAAAAAGAAAAGAAATATATAGAAAAAGAAGAAGAAAAGTAATTTCCCAAAGTACAGTGCGGCGCACAGTTTACCGGGTCCTACCTCACTCGCGTAAAGTTACGACCATTAGTCGCGAATAATAACGATTTTACGAAAAAATGCTTTTCGCAGAGGGGACAATAGTGGTCTTGAAAACGACGGTTCGACACCGGGCCCAAGACTGCGGTCGATGACGGCAAACCTCGCGAGTCCTACCGAAATACCAAAGTATATATAAACCGTCCAAATTGCAACCGACGAAGGGTAAATTGCGACCAGGACAATAATATATGATTTTGAGCTGACATCCATCATGCGTGTGTAGCGAATCGCTCCCAGAGGTTTTTATTTCCATGTTAGCTGTTTAGCGTTGCCCCGCGCAGAGGACACCACGAGGAGATAATTTGATTTTTTAACCGAACAATCATACGGTTAAATTTATAACATAATAATAATAATTGTACATAGAAAAAAAATAATCATGACTAGATAATAATAATAACAAATAAAGGGTTTTTTGTAAATCACTATAATTATGGTAATGTGACGTAATTAAAAAAAACATATATGTTATCGATATTCGGTGTTGCACGAACGACTGACTGAAATACTATTACGTAGAATAATAAAATGTACGTCGATAATGGCATACAATGTAACAACTATGGCGTTTGCCCCAATCCATTCAAAATGGATACCGATGAACTTGTGGTCACTATTGGTCTGCGAACGAGTTGATTCGTAAATTCCCGTTTATCTAAGTCGATTCCGATTAATTGATTTCTGGACAATTTCAAGAGGCGCGTTGATTTCCTTTTTGTTGTATATGAGTGGAGAAAATTGGAGGAAACGGGTAAAAAAAAGTTTTTTACAATGGCCTGAGAAATTTAATAAATTTAAATTTAAATAAGTCTCGGGAAGGCGGGCCTCACCGATTTTCTATACCACATTTTTACTACAGCTGCAGTTCACCGCGGGCGCGATTTATAAACATATTTTCATACACTGCTTGCAGATGTAAGTATATCAATTGAATGCAATATGAATAATTATAAATTGCCTCTTTCGACCGGTGCAAGAGATCGCAAGTCTCTTGGCCCCCTCCCGACCAACACCGAGAGACGATTAATAATTATTGGATATCGTCAATTACAACTCACGAGTATTGAAGAAATTATCGAGTTAAGGGACGGTTCAGAGACGCTCGTCCGCTCGAGTAGAGAGCCACTCGGAATTTCGGCCATTGATATGTTTGTGTGCTCAGAGGGATATGTCCTCTATAGTGCACGAGAAAACCAAACAAATTTTGCGAAAATATCATCGTACGTTCATTATTACTGCAATGTGTGGACGGTTTGCTAAATAAAAAAAAAAACGATTACACGGTCCGTCACATTAAAACGACCATTATCAGTGAACATTCTATACGGTAGGGTGTGGTACGGTTTAAAAATATAATATTGTTACAACCAGTGTTATATCTAGATTAAAGTACAATTTTAAAGCGGACATCATATCTTACACACATTTTATTTACGAGTGCAAACCTATGAACATAATATTATATATCTTATGTAATTATATGTATATATTTTTTTTAAATTTTAATTTGCATTTTATTTTAAAATAATTATAGCAAAGCAATAATTATAATATTTATCATTATAATATTTGTATTTTTGTACTTATTGTAAGAATGCTGTTTTATAAATGTAAGTTTTAAATTATTTAAAAGCCATCTGTTTCTTGCTTTAACTAGATGAAATATGTGGTTATCTATTAACTGTCTTATCTAGATAAGACTCGCAACATTTTATCTGCTGTGTTGTTTAGATAATTATAGTTGGGTTATCTTTGTACAACGCAGAATTTACAATGTAGTCGTGTCTGGTCGTGGTCCGGCGGTATTGTCTATGCGCTTACCATAACAGTAATAATATTATCACTGAGCACTTGTGCACAAGTTATAGAATAAGACTACAGCACGGATTATGCGCAAAATGTCGAATAATGCATGATAACTATGTTTTCCCAAGTGAAACGAATAAACACGTTTTAGCATCAGAAGGTCCTCAGAACGAGTATACCATACGTCTTAACGTATTATTAAAGTTGGAACGTACTTTATTATAGTTTAAGTATATATAATACATGTTTTAATTTAACGTCGAATATAGTTTTTGTATTCATTATAAGGGTTGTATCCAATGCGGACAGTAAATAATTATTACCAAATCTTTAAGTTGCAAAATTCAACTAAATAACATAATTTTATCGGTTCGCTTTTACTCTATACTCTAAGCTTCTAAAGCTCCGAGCTACACAAGTGTGGTTGTAAGTTCACGGTTTTATTCGTATGTAGGTATTGCATGCTATAGTGGTTATCGAAAATATCTACAGTAAACCAATACGATTCTCTAAATAGTTGTCGTCTAATTTTTTATGGGGTTTCACTTTTTGTGGTACACCAACAGCAACACAAAAGTTTTTCGATATTTGAAATACATTCGTCAATTTTATTTTAAGATAGTCCAAAAGTAAATAAATGGACATTTAGACCACATCATTAACAAGTAACAAGGTAGGTACTTAAAATCAAGATCAAAATTATATTTCTAAACAGACATTTCAATTAATTGAGTGTGTTATTGATATATTTAATTTAACTTGATTTAAGTTTAATTAATTCGGGACTTCATAAAGTGTATTAATTTTCACTTTAAAAAAAAAAAAACTTTATGAAACGTCTAATGCGATACTTTTTGACGCTTTGACGTTGACTGATCGGAACACCATATAAACGGGAAATTTAATTTTTAGTTCCTATTTTTTGACTACTGAAATGGCCATTCAAAATCATTTGATCTATTTAAATACCCAAACAATAGAGTGGAGTTAATTAATTAACGATCAGCTTTTTCATGATAAGATATTAATGGACAATCGTGGTATTTTATACAAGCAGTATGTAATAGCAAATATTTTAAGTTAATCAAAAAATGAGTTTTTGTTTAACAAAAGTTACGAACTCATGATGAACACATGAATCAACGAAATACATACACAACGAATACTTTAATAGTTTAATGCATTTCAGTAAAATGTTTTCAAAGTATGTCAATTATCGATGAAATATTTATTGAAGTTTATGACTTACAGCATTATTATGATTCCAAAATATGTAAGACGGCGGTTCCGGGCTATGTAATACAACACATGTCAGGTTGATGGTACTTCCTCGATCAATGAATATTTCCGGTCCTCCAATAATGTCAGTACGGGGTTCTGAAACGAAAAAAAATCGAAAATGTAAAATATGTCAATTCAAATCTAATATTAAATGAATTATTCAATTATTGCCGTATATCGCATTAACGCAATATACGAGTTCGTGTACACATAAATAAAACTGAACAATTTTAGAGCTAATAAAAGTAAAACATTGTCAGCAAATTGGATTGTTATCAACAGCATCACATATACCTATATCCAGACTAATGGGTCACCTAAAACGTATTGAATAATTGAGTATTTTAATTACGAATTAAAGTTGCAAGATGTATTATGATTTTTTAAAAGCTCAGTTAAAGGTTTAATGATTGGACTAACAGAATTTACTATCATCATGCAACGTTTTTATATAAATTTAAATAAACTGTGTATTAGATAAATTAATGTACACAAATCAATAATTGCTCATATTATAATAACTACTTAATAATCAAATTAATGCCACTTGTTATTATAATAATTCAATAACATACAATTATAATATGTTCGTAGACTTTTTGAAATAAGTGAATATTATTATTATTGTTGAAAAATTATATGATGTGTGTGGGCGTTCAATTCATGTAATTCTATAATAGCAAACTCCATTTTTATGTTGAAAACGATTTATTTGAAAAAAATTGAATGTTTTTACTATAGCACTTACAATTACAATATATATTTATTGTGATGTCTGTGATACCACATATGCAATTTATGGGTCACCTAAAATGACTGATTGAGTATTTCAACTATGAATATTGTACATGATATATTACGATTTTTGATGAGCTTAATTGAAGGTTTGATTACAAGCCTAATAAGAGCTCATCAAAGTTAATATCTAAATTTTAATGAACTATATATCAAATTGAATGTACAACTAATAATGATATGTTCATTACACCTACGTAATAAAATAATTTATGTCACTTATCAGTAGAATAATAAATAAATTAATACAAAATTATATTTATACATTTTCTTAGAATTTTTAGCATACAGGAGTATTATTTTTAACTATTTAATGTTGTGTGAGTGCACGTACAATTCATGTAATACAATTATTACAAAATGCATTTTTTATGATAAAAACAAACCAATTCATTTTTTTAAAAAAAATTTTGATATAAAAGTACAATATTATTAAAATATAATGTATGATGCTTATGTATTCTGTTACTTGATTAGTAAATATTTAATAATACACTTTTTAAATATTTCATACAATCAATATGATCTTTATCCACTGTAACTCCTGATTTTAAAAATTTGAGATTTATTTAAATGTGATACATAATATACGTCATAAAAATATTAAAACTTTGGCAATTGTGCATAAGACTACACAAGGTGATCTTGTATGGTTATTGCTTGTTCCCAAAAAGAGAATTTTGATCCTACAACAATATTTTAAAATATTAGTAATGATAAGAATTGCGTTTGCGTTAAATAATGATTCATCCAAGGTTTTCTTGGGCCAATGTAAATCATTTAAGCCATTACCCTTGGCTGAAAAATACGTAGATTGTTTTATTGCTATACATTCAGTCAAAAGTTTATTACAATTGTGCAAGGTTTACCACCGATAGTTTTGAAAACTAATAATATTTCGCTATAGAATTTACGACCAAAATATTTGTTAAATGGTTTCCCAAGAGTACATCGGACGTCTTATAAACTTTTCGCTGGTAAAATATGTTTAAGAAATATCATGTTAATTCTTATTTAAATGTTTAGTACAAGCTGCAGAATTAATATAAATCAAAACTATTTAAATTATATTGTATCATATATTTATATTTAATGTTTAGGTTTATGGAAATAAAAATATTACTATTTATTTAAATACAGCACCACAGCTATAGGTACATAAATATTTTGTATTTTATCAAATGATTATACCACCCGATCAAAACTGTTTGAAGGCTTTATATTAAATTATAATATGCATCCATATACATATAAGTAGGTAATAAAACTCTATTTTTAAAAATATAATAATATTTTACTATTGCCAAAAAAATAAAAATAAAGGCTATTCCGTACACGATTCGTTTTAATCGAGACATTCAGTTTTTTTTTCTGTGCAAAAATAATAATTTATAGATAACATTTATCGTGGGGAAAAATGATTTAAAATCGTTCTTCTAGAATCCGAAATTATATCACCAATGTTGTTACGGCTCTATATAAGGTCATATTATTTCGGGAGACTAATAAAGCCAACGAACAAGGATAAATTATCCTATCAGAGAATACAAGACTACACCAAGGGCGGTGTGGGCCCATAACGGTCTTTGAGTTGACTTTTGACACAACACTTCTCGGTGTTGATATCTCGTGGCATTTCGAGCTTGTGGTCGCTTTGTAAATACAGTCACAAGTGAGGGTCATTCGAAGGCTAATGTCATCGTAAAGAGGGGTTCGTACGGGGTATTCTGAGACTCATTTTGCACGACCGACGACAGTGTTAGGGGGGGGGGGTGGTGGTTTTTTAATGGTGTGACGGAACACTTTGGGGTAAGTTAGGATTATAATAATGTCTAGAATGTTACTCGTGGGATTATCAAAACATTATTTCGGCGTATTGGTACAACAGGATTAAAGACAAAAAAATGATATCATTCGCATAGGACATAATAAAATATCGTTGTATAATAATTGTCATAAGAGTTTACGCGTTCGTACTTCGTAATAATAATAGAAGACCCTTAAAATGTATTTCACGCTTGGAAAACAACAACAGTGTACACTTTGAAATAATACGAAAAAGTAAACAGTAAACGGTGCAACGGTTTTTTTAAGATGTTCTACCTGATAGCGTATACTACCGAGGAAAAATGAGAATTCTCATTAGCCACGGTCACTTTTACATATTATGGCACTTTGCGTTGAAAAAGGTTGTAAAGTTAAGCAAGGATATGAAATCACTGTGGCCGTAAATTACTTTTATAGAATTTCGACCCCCTAAAACGGAATACTGATCCGGCCTGATATCGCAGAATTGCAGGAGATGTCGTAAGAACATTATTATTTTTAAATTTATCTTTTATGCCAATAATATATCATATTATTATCCACTTACGATATTGGTATAATTTCAGTTTTACTACACATAATTATTGATTTAAGCATAATTATAATATGTAATACAGTGTCGTTCAATGTTCAAACACATACAAACATTTCATACTACGCGAATAAATGTTTTCAAAATCACAACAGTCTGATTTTCGGCTGATCAAAAAAATCTTGTGTCATAGGTATGTGTAGGTAATAATAATATGATTTTATTGTGACAATGGCTTTATGTTATACTCGTGTTCAGCTGTGACAAAGACGTACAATTATTACTTGTATTAAACCACGGATACAATTAGACGTATTATATTATAATAGATTTAAACCATCAAACACGTACGTGGGCGGGTATTCTAATTTATTTACGAAATTTAGTCAGTAATAATTATTGTACGCATTAATAATTAGGTATGCAAAACTAGAATATGGATAGATCATAAATCGTAAGTATAAAATTGTCTTTACCTTGACTTGAAAAATAATAAAATGAATTTGAAATGGCATTGGCAAAAATGTATTTTAAATAAAACAACTAACGAATGTCAAGTAAAAAAAAACAAAACAAAATATAACAATATTACTAGTAAACAAACGAATTAAAAACTTCGTAAATAGTATCGAAAAGTATTCATAAATAAAACAATATTTACAATGAATTAAAGTTTTGTTTGCATAGTTCTACTCTCGTGAGGCGAATTGCTTTCAAATATTATATATAATACGACTAGCTGTCTCACCCGACGTTGCCCACGAGAAACATTTTTATTATTGATAAATATTATATTCATAAAAAAAATCTATGTCACAAAAATATATCTTTTTTTTGTAGGTCAACTGAAAAAAAAACCTTGTGTGAATTACAGAGCTAACCTTTAATTAGGTATTTCTTGAGTACCTATATAAACACACATTTAACACTCATAATTATAATTAGATGTAATTTTTATATTTTAAATCATAAACTTGACGATTTGATGAATGATTTTACCTCATCTGCCTTATGATAATCATACCAAAAATGATACTAATTTCTACTATTTCTCTTGTAACCAATAACAAACATTTATAAACAAAAATGTCCATAATAAATCTAAACATTTCTGTTTGAACACTTCTCCGAGTTGTGCTTACCGGGTAAAATTATGAATCTAAACCATTCAAGGACCCACCCAAGCACACAATTTCAACAGAATCGGTAAAAAGATTATCACTACACTTTACTGCCCCTAATTTAGGTGAGTTGAGCTAGTCGAGAGTTCAATTCAGTCCATTTTGCAGCTTTTTTTATTATTAAAATTAATCAATATACCGGTAGAGTACTGCACGATTATAAAAAACTGGACACACTGCCACTACAACTTTATTGAACCCGTTGATTGGCAACGTACCCATATTAACTGGTAATCGGTTTATGAAATTGATTTTGCAATTGATTTAGAGTTTGCCGGCTTGGGTGTTGTAAGTAATTATAAGTTTAATTACAACCCAGACATAACTGAAAAAGCTATTTGTTATTATGAGCACACATTTGAGGCGAATGCGATTGCTCTGGAAAATAATATAATATATGAGAGGTGTGAAGTCTTTTATTTGCATTATTATTATTATTATTATTATTATTATTGTTACTTTAATGCGATCGAGTAATAATCGCTTACGTTTGTTTGATCGAATTTCCGCTAGCAAAGATCGTAATAAAATATTATAGTAATATAAAATATTTAAATTACATTTTTAAACCTTAAATTAAAGAGCGAAAAAAAACGTCGTTACATAAAAGTTTTCATTTATAAAATATACTGAATATCAGATAAAATTGAAATTTCGTAGAAAAATAAACTGTTTGAGTTTAGCACGTCATATACTCGTTAAAGCAAATAATTTAGACCAGAGCTTGTTTCAGTGTAGAATTACAAAACTAAAAACTGTAA